CAAAATCAAAAAATCTCATTATTTTTATTAATGTAAGAACCATATGAAAACACACACACACACACACACATATATATATATATATATATATATATATGAACCATTGTGTCAAATACGAACAAAAATTGACATATATATGAACTTGGATTGTATAACATTTATGAACACAATATGAATATAATAAGAATAGTTGCTACATGAAAATAACTAAATAAAAAAGCAGGTATGAACACAATATGAACAGTTTGTGAACAATAGTTCTTTCATTATGAACATATTCAGGAGCAAGCCAATGTTGAGATATACAGCTAGTGTACATATGAACACAATATGAACAGTTTGTGAACAATANTTATTATGAACACATTCAGGAGCAAGCCAATGTTGAGATATACAGCTAGTGTACATATGAACACAATATGAACAGTTTGTGAACAATAATTCCTTCATTATGAACACATTCAGGAGCAAGACAATGTTGAGATATGCAGCTAGTGTACATATAAACACAATATGAACATTTGTGAACAATTTTTTTAACAATTACATATGAATTCGAATTCTGATTGTAGTTGTAAACGATTTTAACCTTTTCATTCTCATTGTTGTTGATTTGTTTTCCAATAGGTGTATCCATATTACTCGGACGATATCGAAATCTTTACAATCGGAAATTCTTTAATAATTATAAAATCAATATCATTATGGATAGAATTAATCGAAATTACAAAATATGAACACGTATAAAAAAATATCAATATTACATAATCATCAATTATTGAGATTTTTAGATTTGTAACTCCCAATTAATGATTTGGGAGTTACATAAATAACAAATTACTTAATTACCCTTATCATTAATATATGAGTTATATGTGAACCTAAAGAAAAGATGGAATATGATTGGTTGAGCTTGGTTAACAAAGTTAACACAAAAATATTGGTTAGTATTTGAACTAACCCCTATATATATATATATATATATATGTGTGTGTGTGTGTGTGTGTGGGGATTAAATCAGTTCCAAAATCCATTTTCAATATGTTTTGCATTCGACTTTATAACTCCCTAAAAATTTATGAATGCACAAAATCAAAGACAAAGAAAAGTTCATATGGTACCATGTTGGGTTTAAAAGAAGAATGAGAAGTTGACAACAAATACCTAAGGAACAATAACCAAGAGAAGTTGACATATTTTAGACCAATGAGAAGTGAATGTCACTTTGATCTCTCTCTCTCTCTCTCTCACACACACACACACACACACATATATATATATATATATATATATATATATATAAGGGTTGGAACCTTATGTATATGTATACCCTCACTTTTCCATTCAAGCAAAGTGAGGGAGATTTAGAAACAAGAGTAGAAGAAAATCTAAAGTACAAGTCAAGGAAGCATCAAGTACAAGTTTCTTAAGCAAAGGGTTCTCATATATCAAGGTATAACTACTTAATCCCAAAACATTCATTTCATCTTGTAGTTGAAACCAAAATGATCATATGATAGAAGTTGGTCACTTAGGGGTCTGATTATCAAGTGCTTACTCCATGATGCTTAGCTTATCTGGTGTGGCTTATCTTCTGGGTGAACATGGCAAGAAGCTAAAATCTTATCTGGTAGGATGCATAGTAAAAGGGGTTATTATCATAAATAACCACTTGGATGTTTTTTTTACTTTTTAGCCATCTCCAATTTTTTTCCCACGAAATAGCCAAGAAAATGCAAATCAACGTCATAAGACACTTTTCCTTGCTGTTTCTAGCGTTCTCTGATGCATCCAGATGAATAAGTGGGTCCACCATAAATATAAATGAGATACTGTAGTTTGCGGCACTGGAAGGACATCCTTCGACGCACAAAAAGCAAGGCAAGGTTACAGTGAGAAAAAGTTTAGAGGTGTGGTTATTTATGATAATAACCCCATATATAGTAAGGACCAAGAATGTTGCCCAATATGATAATAACCCCTTAGTGGTTTACTTGACTTTTATAACTAACATCAAATTAAATCAAACAAACCTAGTAAATCTCATATGAACTGGGTTCTTAAGGATGTATGATGTATGTTGATCTTATCTCTGTTCGAAAAGTAAGGAAGATGTTCACATGGGTAAAAAGGTAATTTTCATAACTAATTAAGTTTATGTATATAGGATGAATAATTTCATGGAAACTTAGAAGTAAAATAGTGGAATATTTATGTGTGAGAATGAATCCGATTTAGATTGAGATGGAACAAAAAGAGAAAAGATTATTGTGGCTCGTTTATCAAATGTGTATTAGATAAATGTTTACCGACAAGGATCACCACCCTCACTTGCTTTATCGGATAATATTTCCAGCAATCAAAACTGACTGTTGGTAAATGTTTGTCACTTGGTAAGCGCTTACCAGATAACCATCTATCAACTTCTTATGGGCATTTCTTCGGTATAAATCTAAAATGCGTGTTCATTGGTTTGAAGTTTTATAATTGTATACAATTT